TTTTGATGCCACTAACTAGATTGCATATTATACTGCTCTTATTTTGTCCTATAAAGATTCCTGGTAACACCTTTTCAGCATTAGTTCACAGCCCTCTTCCATCCCTCCAAGCATACTGTTTTTATTTGCCTAGAGTTTTTTGTCTGATATTCAGTTCTAGTTTGTATCTGCTTCTCTGTCAGAACTGAAGAAGAGCTCATGATGTCTGAAAGTTTTGCCAACAGCTCTCCCAACTATACAGCTGGTCCAGTAGAACATACTTTAAAAAATCTTGCCTCCTGGAAATTAAGAGCATTAATTATTTAAAATTTACTCCTACTCTACAACCACATGAACTGGCAGACTAAATAAGCCCAGCTACCACAGCCTCTCCTCATAAGTCATGTGCCCTAGCTCTCTAACCATTTCCGGCTTACACTTTACGCATACAGACACAGAGACTTCTTGTCTAATCTTCCCCTTTTTTTTGGACATGTGCTGACCCAGACCAGAGCTCACGGCAGCCATTGGAAAGGCTGTCCAGTCCCAGATAAGCCCCTCAGCACACAACAGGCAAGCAAAACAAGAAGACTGGATGGACAGCAGCTGCATTCTGGGCTTAGCAAGTGCAGCACCAAGTGGCTGGTGCATTTCCTGGCTCCATTGCTTTCTGGCAAGCCATCAAGAAGAAGGTACTGTAGACCATACATGGGAAGGACCTAGGACATCTCACAAGCTGCTGTACAGAGAGCTGATCTTACAGAGGTGCCATGACCATACACAGGCTGAGCATCTACCACAGAGTTAGGACCCCAACCAACAGGTTGGTCAACTGATCCCCCTCCTGTCAGTTCTTGTTCTCCTGGCTGCTCTCACACCCACTCCAGTGGCTAGCAGTAGAATTAACGGTAAATCCAGGATACACGTTACCACCTGCTAATCAGTGGCAGGCAGGCTGTGAACGCTCTGTGATACAGGCTCTTGCCTCCCACTCTATGATAGAACTGGTGGGTTGTAGGCATCTAAACTGAGTTGGGTTGTTTAGGAACAGGGTAGTATCAGGGCATCTCAGAGGTTCAGAAGCAGCACAGCCCCAGTCAGTTGGGTGCCTATAGAGCGGACAGAGTCAAAGCCTCTGGGTCCCAAAGTGGTTAAATCCATGCTGGTACTAATTCCCTCTGCACCCAGGCCATGCTGGCAAACAGCACTGCAGCACTGATGGCGAGCAGCAAACCTTAGCACACCAAATGGTAGCAGGTTGGCTTGGGGCACTTCAAAGCAAAGTGGGGCAGCCAGCAGGATCAATCTTCATTTGCTGCAATAGTGCATTAAGCATTAAGAGACATGGTCCCCTGGAAAAAGCACACACCATGTAAGGAAAGTATTAGAGGGAGAAAGCAGTTCC